AGAAGAAAGCAGGACCAGGACTGCAAAGTTCCCCAGTTCAAGTCCCTTGTTGCGAACTCCATGGGTGACCACGTCTGGCTGTCTGTTTGCTGCGGTGAGAACCGTGACAGGTCTTGAGTAGCTGTCCAATTGACATTCCCTGTCACCAAGGGTGTGGCTTAGCAGGCACTGCGGAAAGGCGGACGATCTCCCGGCCTGGCACAATATCATGTTGTTATGGTGCCCTGTCAGCCCCTCCTCCTGGACTGGCAAGGGTTATCCTGGTCCCCAATCTCATCAGGGCAAGAAAACAGAGCCACGCTCATCGGTTACCCTGAATTGGGCACCCTCAATATGGCAGGTGCCACATGTTCCGGTGGACAAAGCCTAGAACAGTCTCACACTGTACAGCACCTGTATGCAATATTCCAGGCTTTCTGGCAGAAGCTGAGCTGAGTTCCGGTGGACAAAGCCTAGAACAGTCTCACACTGTACAGCACCTGTATGCAATATTCCAGGCTTTCTGGCAGAAGCTGAGCTCCAGACACTTACTACCTGCTACACAAGCTGAGTCCACCGAGCATTACCGATGCCAACCAGAGAATCCCACAATTAGACACCTATCCAGCAGGCAGAGTAGACCACATCAGCGTGCCTCAAGAAAGGTGAAGACCATGAAGACACCAAAGCCAATCTCGCAAGCAGCAAGCTGGGGGTCCCTACAGTGGAGGGGAGAGAAGGAGGAAAGCTGCCTACCATCACTGTGCCTGCTGCCATCACCAATCCTGCTAGAACTGATCACAATGCTCATGGCTTAATCTCACATTTCTTCCCAATTGCTACTCTGTTTCTGTAACTGCCAGCAGGTGTCACAGTCAATATGGCTATTTTACGTTCATCTACTACACATAAGCTATCTACGGCGGACCCCCTACATCCCTTTGTTTATTTGTAACTCAGCATGTTTTATTATTATTTTTATTTATTATTTTATTATTTATATAGCGCCATCAGATTCCGTAGCGCTGTAAATCATACTATAGCATTGTCAGGTAGAATAGCTTGACTTATTACTGTTATATATCACATCCCTACTGACATACTTACTGTCTTGCTTACTGACTAACCTGACATTACTTTTTTTTTTTTTAAGACGTGCAGTTATTTCAAATGCCAAGTCAGCGTTATACCATATCTGGTTATTTGTTTTTGTTTTTTGCTCTGCTTGCTATTGCGGTCATGGCATCACATGCGTGTTTTTAAGGCTTTGCACAGAAAAATAAAGATAAAAAAAATGAAAAAAATAATAGCTTTATTTCAACTTTAATCAAGCTATTGTTCCTGTAACATTTTGTAATTGTCTCAATATTCTTCTCTTTTCCCCCCCCCCTTGTAGATATCCACAGACGTTTATTCATTAAAGGGAAACGGCACTGCCTAAATTCAAAATAAGTTACTGTTTAGTAGATAACCCCAAACGAAAACTTGCATATGCATTTCTTCAATGGAGTTATATCTTAAAACAGCTTGCAAAGCTGCAGATCTCTTGTCTGCAGCCTTTGCAAACCCTCCCCTTCTAACCCCACCCAGACTTTCTGTGGCTGTCCAATCACTGTCAAATGCAGCTCACTGAGAATTCTTTGAAAAACAGATGCTTTGGGCAATTGCTGCCTATTAAGTTCAGTGCAACTAAGTTAATCAAACAGGAAGTAAAATAACCTGTTTTCTGCTTGAAAAGCCAGGGGGTGTAACCAGTAAACCAATATAATTTAAACAGTGTTAATTTCTATAGAAAGCTGCACTTTTTTCAAAATGAAAAAAAAGGTCACACTCTTCACACATAGTGCTTTCGGGGTCTGGAATCTCCCTTTAAACACCAAATTGTAGATTTTTGAAAAAAAGAATTTTAAATATTAGAAAAGGTCTGATTTTGAATATTTCCCTACTAGGCTGCAGTCTTAGCTTGGCTACTTAAGTCTAAATTTACCAGTTTGTCTTTCAAGTCGCTACAGTTTGTGTAATTAGTGATCCAGCAACCAGGAAACGCGGAGATCTTTCAGCCAATCCCAAGTTATGAATTACTAAGAGTGGGAAGAGTTAAAATCCTTGGCTAAAAGACTTTGCCACAGAGCTATAAACTACATTTATATGGGTCAGCAATATATGGATCCTGTATAATAATACGCTAAAAGTTAGAACCTTTGTACAACAATCCCAGGTGTGACCATCAGGTAATTAACACGTTTGCTGGTAACTTTGATAACACACACTATAGATGGAATTTGTGAAACACTCGTTCCCACGTACGTTTTCCACAAACTACTGGAGTGTGGAAGATGGCCTCCTTCCCACCGACTATGGTCCAGGTCTGAGACACCGTTTGAGAGTTACCCTGCCCAGTCGCCATTAATGGCTTTCCCTCAGTGCCCCTGGTTTGGCACTTTCCCTTCATTTGAATGGAACCGAATGCTAGCTCCCTGACGGCAGTTCGTATGAACCAAACCCACGAATAGTCCCCAGCGGTACTTAGCTGCGATTGCTACAAATTTAAGCATCAGGACTTTGTGGGTTCCTGGGCACATCAGGGAGACTTAGCCGTGAATGTTATGGAACAGTTTTCGGCATGAGGTGACTGTGCGGTCCCCGGGCACTTGGTCCGGTGTTTTGAACCACTTTGCGACCCACAAGGAAAGCGCTTTTTGAAGGGAAGGTGCCTGAGACTAAGGGGAAAAAAAGTTCCCTGAGAGCCAGACAGAGCACCCTGCACTGCGGATGCAGGATCTCCCGAAAGTTGACCGTCAAAAGCACCAAACTCCCTAGAACTATTTTAGGCATAGGACCACATGTGCGGCCGGTCAGAACTTTAACACAGTAGCGTTTTCCCTTCACTACATGGATCTAAACACTATTTGAAGAACTTGGGCGCTCAGATCAGGGCTAATTAATGATGTATTAATTGTGGGGTTATGTTGTTTTAATGATTTTATTTGTGTATTTTTATGTTTGCCTCTGTTCCTGGGGGAGCATTTAGTTTAGCGGTCTTTATCGCAATTATCTCCCATTCCCAGAGATTCCTAGGAGGGTCTTGTGCTGAATACAATGGAGATCCCCTGCTGCGGTCTGTGCACAAAAGGTAGAGTTTGGCTTAGTAAAATCAGTTGTACTCCCAGAAGTATGTGTTGTCTAGTTACTTGAAGGGGAAAGGACTAATCACTCGTGGATGATTCAGTGGGGAAAGTCCTTGTAAGGACTACAGCTCCAAGGACTGTGTGTCGTCCAGTCCCTGGGAGTGAATAAAGCTAGTCCCTTATCCTGTTCCAGGATGGAAAGACTCCAGGAGGACCCCAGTCAAGTCACAGTGATGCTGAAGGCACTGCTGGCTTACTATGGACCCAACCCCACTGAGAAATACATAGAGCACATGAGTAATATAGTAGCTGAGTACCTGCAGCACAAAGCCAAGATGGCAAGCAGAGTGGCACGGTGCGGGATGCCCCTGCCCCAGCGTGCATTCTAGGGAGATGAACGTGTTGTCCTCTATCTGCAGTGGCAGTGTGAGTTCCAGGGAGTGGAGACAACCGGTCTCATCAGCAATGTGCATCCCAGGGAGAGGAGCGTGTCGTCCTTCTTTCCCAGGAACAGAGTGTGTTCCAGGGAGGGGAAACAAATGGTCTCACACCCCAGCGGCTGAGTAAGTTACAGGGAGTGGAGACAGCCGATCTCACTCCCCAGCCACAGAGTATGTTACAGTGAGGGACTACAGCTCACAGGACTGTGTATTGTCCAGTCCCTGGGAGGGAATAGAGCTAGTCCCCTATGCTGTTCCACAACTGAGAGGCTCCAGGACGACTCCAGTCAAGCAACCGCGAGGTGCTGAGGCTTTCCTCAGTTCTAGCTAGGAAGCGATCCTTGGTGGAGGTACTCAGCCGAAATACAGGGAGCTCTGCTCCAAAATTTTAATACCTACCTGAAGGGGGCACTCTCTCTAACATACACCAGTAGATGGAATGATCAGTTTGAACTACCTGATGAGAGAAGACTTGTATAATGTGATAACATTCTATTTTAGGTTGACCATCTCTGACTTCGAAGCTTTCCTGAAACAAAATTTAAACTGGGTCATGACTGATGATATGACCCCACATGTAAAACATTAGATCGTTGCAGAATAGAGTTGTGCATGGCGAGAAATTTCAGTTCAACCAAATCATTTTTTTTATGACACCTGAATTTTGGCCAGAAATTTGATCAGGAAGTGAAGAGATGCGAGAATAGGCCAGCGTGCTGCTAAATATATACTTTATTTTATTTAATATAACATATATATATATATATATATATATATATATATATATATATCTTGCAGTACACTGAGAGGAGCATTTTCTGGCAGTTGGCTCACGGATCAACTGAGAAATAGTAACCGATAGAGAAGCAGTAACAAACAAATCTATATTTATAAAATATAACACACTCTCTCTCTCTATATATATATATATATACACACACACACACACACATACACTGTTCCTCATTTTATTATACACTTCTAATCAACATTTAGTGACTGACCTCTAGATTTATTTCGCACCACAGGGCCCTACTAGAACATGTTCTGCTTTGCACAATTTGGCTTGTCCATCATTCAGGTATATTTTGGCTCGGAATTTTGCCACACACCCACTAAGTCCAAATTTGTCCGAAATGCTGTTCAGTCCTAAACGAATCTCCATGTATACCAGAGTAGAGTATGGAATCCACAGACAATATAGGTTACCAAGGTATGGAAATACAGATGGTCATGTGCGGAATTGATGAAATATAAAATGGGTACATATGGGCAAGATACATTTTCAATGCCTTTACTCAATAAGGCATCTCCTACAGAATTTAGAAAAATTTGGAATGTTCAGTAAACTTCACGTCCAATCTGGACCCTATGGGAATTAATTCGTTTAGTGACCCAGTAGACTACCTGCCACTAGAAAACATGACACTTCCAAGTGATGGATAATCAGGCCGTGCAAAGTATGCCATCAATGCCCTAAAACTATCACTGGTGCAGCTGCACAGGGGCCGGCACGGTGAGGCCATACATTGATGGAAACCCGATGAGTATGTGTAATTAGGGGTCTGTGTGCTGTAGCCATTATATAGAGGAGGGTGGTGGAAACTGGGAGAGCCAGTCTCACAGATTCAACAGCCTAGGCCAGCAGATCCAACAGGACCACAGAGCAACCATCCTCCTGCACCTGAAAGGTACAAAAAACATGAGTGTGGTTACAACTTTGTAAATTTTGACCAGCATGTGTCTGTATGTCTGTGTATTTGATGTGTCTGTATTTGTATATGTGCATACATCTCAGCATTCAAACATCAACAATACACACAGTCACACCTCTGCATTCATATGTCAATTCTGCATAAAAATACACCTCTGTTTTAAAGGGAAACTGTCACCAAACATACAATGTTCACACTTTTAAAAGAGTCAAAATTCTATCTATAAATTATGTGAGCGGTTTTGCTAGCAAATGTATAGCTTGGGAGACAAACCTATTTTCAAATAGTTTACCCCCATCGTTATCTCAATTCCTCGGCAGACACTGAATGCAGAGAAATTGAGAGACAGGGGGAGCAGAAGAGACCTCCCACAGAAGGTCTATCTGCTATCCACCCATAGCAACCACAGCACATTTGCAGTGTTGCTATGGTAACTCCCTAGCCGATGCTGCTTGCAAAGGCTAGGGAGTAGAGAAACAGAATGACGGAACAGAGCAAAGAACAGGGGAGGAACACAGGCAGATCAGAGGTGTAACCTACATTCAGATGCCAACACTACACACAAGCACACCCCTACATTCACACAAACAAACATCCTTATATGCGAACACTGCACAGTGCTAAATACAACCCTGTATCGCTGGACAAAATGGTAGATCCTCAGTTGGTAAAGCATTGTGGGAGATTTAGGACAGGTGGGATCGCCCTTTTGACCTCCCCAAAAATGTTTGCACCAGGGCCCTCTCTACGTTCGTTTCACAACTGCCTAAAATGGTGAGGTAAATGTCAGAGAGAAGAGATCTGCTTTTGTTGGCCAGGAGTATGAAGCAGTGAGGCTTCCGACTGGCATTTTGGGCAACTTTTGTATAATAAATACATGTTTAGTAACTCTGTCTCCACACAGGAACTAGCAGACACTGACAAAATGTTTCACAGAATGCAAATATTGGCCTTAATTTAATATTGTTGGAAAGGATTTTCAAATTATTTAAGGTTTTTGGATAGACTTTCAAAATTATTTAATCAAAATAGTAAAATATTCAAAAATATAACATACATAGAAAGATATATCAAAATATTACATTTAAATATTTTTTTATAACGTGAAATAGTTTTGAAAAATGTATTATAAATTATTAATTTGAAAAGATATTCCAACGATAGTCGATTGAGGTCATGGTTTGAAATGCAGTTCTACACTCGCTTTGTCTTGCATTTCTTTGTCGTAGAATGTAATTATTTAAATGTAGAATGAGAATATAAAAAAAAATTTAAAAAAAAAAAAGTTCATCGGTACAGTGAACAGAACAAAATCAGAAATTCTGTCACAAAAATAAAACGCCAATTCTGAAGGTTTAAAAAAAAATTTTTTATTTGAACAAAAATTCAGGGACTATTTCACACCCTCTTCAGTAGCAGGATTTTGAGATTAAGTGTACCGTGTGGTTTGGTTTAAAAATAAACTGGCACTGATAAGTTGAAAGTGCAGTCATGCACAGCTTCCTTTTACATTTATATTGAGTCGCTTTTAATTTAAACAACAAAGGGTGAATAGGGAGCTGAGAAGGGACGTCTCCAACTGACAAAATGCCATCTCTGGTGAATAATAAAAAAAATATTAATAAGATGCATCGGAGATCCTCAGGGCAGATTACTTTGATAAATACGATTACCATTTCTCTGCCACGCCTCAGGTACAGTGTAAGCAAGCAGAGAAAATGAACACATTCAGAGGAAAATTAATAGCCCTTTCATTCAAATTAAAACACTGTGTGCAGGAACGTCTTGCCATCAGTCGGTCACGCCGGAGCCCAGCCTCTACCAGCCGTGCCTGTCTTTCATCACTTTGCAATCCATAAAAGGTCTAACTCAGTGCTCCTCAAGGCACCCTAACAGTCCAGGGTTTAGGGGTTACCCGGGTCACACCGAAGCCCAGCCTGTCTTATCACTTAGCAATCCATAAAAGGTCTAACTCAGTGCTCCTCAAGGCACTCCAACAGTCCAGGGTTTAGGAGTTACCCGGGTCACACCGAAGCCCAGCCTGTCTTATCACTTAGCAATCCATAAAAGGTCTAACTCAGTGCTCCTCAAGGCACTCCAACAGTCCAGGGTTTAGGAGTTACCCGGGTCACACCGAAGCCCAGCCTGTCTTATCACTTAGCAATCCATAAAAGGTCTAACTCAGTGCTCCTCAAGGCACTCCAACAGTCCAGGGTTTAGGAGTTACCCGGGTCACACCGAAGCCCAGCCGTGCCGGTCTTTCATCACTTAGCAATCCATCAAAGATCTAACTCAGTGCTCCTCAAGGCACTCCAACAGTCCAGGGTTTAGGGGTAACCCAGGTGTGTCTAGGGTGTTTAGAAAAAGAAAGCTAAAAACACCTTAGAGTCAAAGGTTTTTTTGTTTTAAATACCCGGGTAACCCCTAAAACCTGGGCTGTTGGGGTGCCTTGAGGAGAGGGTTGAGGACATACTGTCTAAAGGGTTTTTAATGTTTTTACTTTGTTCTAGTTACCTCTAACAATGAATGAAATATGTACAAGCATATATACAATTCCTGACCAAAAACAGTCAATTTAAATTAGTTACAATTTTAGGTCAAAATAGCAAATACTGAAACCATAGCTGCCTTGCAGAATCTTTCCAGTTTATCGGTTTTAGCCTACAATTTGAAATTCAATTTGTAGTCACTAGAAGGTTAGGAATACAAGTGTCCCTCTGCCCCCAAGGCTAGGCCAATAAACACTGATCTGATTCCTCTGTCCGCGATGGGGTGGGGGTGACATAACGCGCATGCACGGCTGCTGCTGCTACCATTAGGACTCCCCATAGCTTTAAATCAATGCTTTCCTATTGGGGATTTGAAAACACTAGACCTCCTCATGCAAAGCGCGAGGGCATCCAGCGTCGTTTTACAGAGTTAAACTCTCTGAAAAGCCAGGAAGCTTGAGACGGCTACAAGGCAGTCAGACCTGCAAGTAAACATTGCCATTTCTCTGAAACTGCAATGTTTTAGATTGAGGCCTAAGGGAACAGAGACAGTGCATTGTGCACCTAGACTACGGAGATTAGATGGGTACCTATTCTTAATTAAACCAGGCTTGGGAACACAGATATCCCACCAGCACTGATAGATCTGCCAGATTGACCCAGAGAAGCAGTTTGACTCCCAGTTAATACACAACATTTTTATTTGAATGGTTGGATTCCAACGTGCGCATACGCAGATCATGACAATTCATTATATATGATCCCATTACACATGCTAGGGAGGGGGCTGCCGTTTAATATATTGCATGTCTTGTCTCGCCTCTGGGCAGCATCACATGCTGCAGTCATGCTACAGACAGAGATAAATAGATAGTGTCAGGTCGGTGCGTGTGATATGACACTGAGCTGCTGCAACAAATGCATTCATTTTGTTACAAAACCACAGCCGTGCCAAACCTGCCCTCCCTCACCCGGCTGCCTAAATGACTCGGTGATTGTCACATTGTAACACAAAACATTTCAAAGACTGCGGACTGAAAGTAGAAGAATTTTTACAATGTGCCGTGTAGGAGAAAGAAACAATCAGTAAATAAACAATGGATTAAAATCTTTGTATGCGCAAACAATGCAAACTGTCAGACAAATCACCTGTGAGAATTGTGACAAAATGAAGTATGAATTAGAAATGATAGAGTGACTGCTGGAAATTTGTAAAAAATAAAAAAACATGAATATCACACACCAACCAGCATGTTTAAGTATGAAATCATGGCGGGCAGGCCTTCCAGGGAGTGTTCTGTATAAGGCATGCCTGCCCACTGGAGAGCCAAACCCCATCATACAGAGCCATGCAGGGAGCACCGCTAAAGAGCTGCCTGTGTCTAATGATGTGCTGTGCTGCCCCGTGACAGTTCTCCAGTGTTCCTGGATACGATATCAGGGCTGTCCCACTGATATTTGGGTTATTGGGCTGTGATTTCATGGGAAGATCCCGATTTCAAATTCTTCACATGCGTGATGTGACACTGTGCTGTACAGAGCCCTTAATCTCATTTATCTTCCAGCCTTTTACTGAGGGTTACATTCATGCAAAGCAGCTTTATGCTGTTGCATATATTAAAGGACCACTAGTTACCCAGACCACTTTGTCTCATAACTCCCACCAGTCTCCATCTAGCCGTGCATGAAGTTAAAAAGGCACTCTAAGCATCATAACCACTAGAGCCCACTGTAGTGTTTATGGTGCCAGCATGTCTCTGATGTTCCCCTGATTCAGCATCAAACCATTTGATCTGATTTACAGAGGGAGACCTCTGGGTACACACCCCACACTCACTCAGCATAATATCAATTCCATCCGTACCTGGATCCAGTCATTGGCAATATGTAGCTTGAGGGACCGGCCTATGGGTACCTGGGGTTTCTCAGATTGTGTTTAGACACTTGAAAACCCCAGAACCAGGGGACAGCACCATAAGAATGCTGGCGTACAGAGAGATGGAATGATTATGGTGCTGAGAGTCCTTTTAAAATTACAAAGGTTTTCAGAATGAAGGGGGCCCATTTTGGATTTTGTTACAATTTTTGAAGGAAGAAAAAAATATATATAGTATCTGAGAACATATGCAAGAACCAGAGACTTGCAAAAATAAACAGCACTCACATTAGTCTGATGATGTGACATTTTCCAGTCACTGCATGCCAATGATATGGTCCCTTTAAACTGATACGGGCCGGCTACTATAAAGGTATATTCCAGTACCAAAAGATTTCTACTAGTGCACCAAAGCGGTCATTCCTATTGGCAACATTTTAAAACACAGAAAGCTGCCTACATACGCTCATATGTATGCAATTTAGTTGAAATTCTGATAAAACTGTATTGGGAGGGAGAGGGACAAAGTGACACCTGAGCTGGCTGGACGCACCTCGGACGAGCTCTGGGAGCAATATACTTATACTATATAATTCTTTTGAATAATATTAATCTCACGACACTTATGTGAGCTCCAGCGGTTCTAAGCCAGCAGCAATTCTGCTGGCGACCGGTTTTTCCAGACCTTGCTACGGTTATGGCCAATGCGGCTGGTCC